CCGCGCCCCGTCCGCGGCGGGGATGCGCGGCCCCGCGCCCCGCCGACCGCGGCCGAGGAAGGGCGCGGCCGCCAGGCGTGCGGCTTGGCACGCGGCGAGCGGCGAGCGGCGTGCGGCGCGCGGCGCGGCGGCGGCTCACGAGCATCTCCTGCCACAGCTCCTCTGCTTTCACTAGTAATGCCTCCCTGGATCGGCCGCCGGGCGGCAGCATTGCCATCAGGGGGTCTGAGGCGGCGGGGATCAGGGTTTAAGCAGGGGAGAGCGGGGGGAAGCAGAACGGGACAGGGGTTTGTAATTAGTGAGAAGCGAGGGGAGGGAGGCGGTCGGGGCATTCGGCTCGTGATAAAATGGAGGTCGGGGGAGCAAATGGATAGTGTAGGGCAAGGGGCAGGGGTGAGGCACTCGGAGGGGTGCGTGCGTGATATGCGAGGGTGGCATTCATGCTTGCACGCGGTAGAGGGCGGGGAGCATGCCGCGGTGCAGGCAGCCGGCGCGTCGAAAGAGTCGAAAGGGGAGGGCGAGGGAGGGAGAGGAGAGGTGCGCGGCAGCGGCGGCCTGCGGCTGCGGCGGCAGCGCGCGTATGCGTGCGCACGCGCCCGGCTTTGAGCCGGGGGCGCGCCGATGGCCAGGGGCGGCGGCCTGATGGGGCCGCACAGGGCCGGTGCAGCTGCGCACCCGTGCAGACCAAACTCGCAGGCGCTCATCACACACCCCTGCAAAGCCGACGGCCCCGCACGCCCTACGCTCATAGGCGGCGCCGCGCGTCCCACGACCGCCCCGCCCAGAAGAACAGCGGCACCTGCGCTCGCAAAGCACAGCCCCCCGCAGCGCCGCAGCAGCCGCCCGCCCCACCTGACTCTGCCTTTTCGAGTTCCGCTTTGGCCAGTGGCCCCGTCCTGTGCTCTCCATACTCTGGCCGAGGAATCAGACATACCAGATCCGCCTCTGACGCCGCTCCCTCATCGCCCCCCTCCTCCCCGTCGCCCTCCCCTTCAACCGAGTGCGCCTCGCCCTCCTCGCCGCCGCCCTCAGCCTCCCCTTCCTCCCTCTCGTCGTCCGCGGCCGCCCCGGCGCCGCCCCCTGCCGCCAAGCCGCCGCCGCCGCCGCTGCCGCCCTCGGCCC